AATTTGCATCTTTCTCTTTTATTAGTGTAGATATGTAACAACCCCAACAATACATTTTGATAGTTATTAATTTGTATGATTTTCCGTTTTTAAAAAGGCTGAAGGAGAAAGAATAAATGTATAGGGCTTGTTATAGTAACTTTCTTTCTTACAATCTCTGTTTCTCTGTATTCCTATGAGTTCACGTTAACATCACATGTCATCTCCTTATTTCAATAGACTGTGCAACCACTGACCTTCTTTATTTGCTTTGCTAAATATATTACTTTAAAGTATGAAATAGGCCCTGCAATACAATTATATACATATTGTTGTATACAATTGTTTCTTAAACCACTTAAGAGGAGAAAAGAGAGGAAATCTGTACTTATACTGTCTTTTATAAAAACCCAATTCTCTTACTGCTGCTCTTTGTTTTTCTATGTGGATTTGTATTAATACCATCTGAGGTCACTTGCTTCCTGCTTGAAAACCTTCTTTTGTGTTTTTTCTAAAGTTGATTTGCTATAAAGTTTCTTCAAGTCCCCACACTGTTTCAAATAAGACGAGTTCTTTAGGGAAGAACTTCAGAGATCTCTGTGATGATGCACTGCCTCTCTCCCTGGACAAATATCTCTGAGCCACTGCTCCTCCCTGGGCAGGGGTGGTAGACTGTGGTCTTCTCCACTTGCCTCTCCCAGGTTGGAAACTCTTTCCTACAAGTGAGCCAGAGGGAGGGTGATCAGGCCAGGCAATCTCAGCCTGCTTCCTCCCACTTATGCATCAGCTGGAGCCTTCACTCTATGAGTGGGGCTGGGTGTAGGTTGGGAGCCCCAGCCTCCAGGAATTTAGTCTCTGCAACTCAGTGCTGGAGGCCATGAGAAGAAATACTGGTGGCCTGCCTCTCCCAGTGACACACCTTACCCTGTATGGAAGAGGGAAGATGGAGCCACATCTTGTTGACCACACCCACCAGGAGCAGATCTTTTGTCACACTGAACTGAAATTTTGTGAAATTCAAGTACCCTTCCATTTCTATGGCTTTCAGAAATTCCTTTGATGGTTGTTGAATCAATGTTTTGTACTCAGTGCTTTCAGTTTCACATTACTCTAAGTACTTCACTTCTAATTAATGGGTCTTCAGGAATTCCGGACTGTCACATGACATCAGACAGGTGAATAAAAGCCCTACCATCTAGTGAAAGATAGAGCAGTGACAGAAACCACTCAAACCTACACTGAGGAGAAACAACAGGTAAGAACTTTATTTTGAAAACACCATACATTTTCGTCAAACACATAAGCTTTGTTTCAGAATGGATTTCTTGGTTTAGAAGTAACCCAGGTTCTGGTTGCCAGGTGGGAGGAAGGATAGTGGCTGAATGAAAATGGGGAAGGCATTAAGGAGGACAAATTGACAGTTATAAAACTGTCACAGGCATGTAATGTACAGCCTAGGGAATGTACTCAATGATATTATGATAATTATGCAGGCTGCCAGGTGGGTACTAGACCTATTGGGTGTTTCACTTGTTAAATTATAGAAATGTCTAACCACTATGTAGTATGAAACTCATACAATATTGAATGCCAACTGTAATTTTAAATAAACTCTTAAAAACAAAATAAAACATAGCCCAGGTCCACTAGATCCACTTTCTTAGTGCCAACTGCTTTCTTACACCTTACAAGTAGAATTTGGTCCCACTATGTTTCTAAAAATTTTATCTTTAAAGAATCCACTGTGGTGCATCGCTAAAGCCAACATTTTGTTTACCTGACCTCTCTGTGCTCTCAAGCAGTTTTGTTCCTGCTTTCTGGAAACTCTGCCTCTGAACTCCGTGGCTTGGCATGAATTCATTCCTCACCTACTTCTCTAACAGCAAAAAAGGTGGTCTCCTTTCCATTTTGATTTGGTTTCTAATCAACCCGACCCTTAACTACTTGGCTGTAATATCTTCATTATTTTTAGATTCCAAAGAGAACAGTCAGTATGGGGAGGAGCCAGATGCAGGAGGAGTGAGGGAGGGAAGGAAGAGCTAGGACAGCTGAGAACTTGTCCCCTGTCTGCAGTACCCAAGACATGTAGGTAACCAATAAACTAGCTCTTCCAGGCCCATGTTCATTAACAAACACAACAACACGTGCCCAAGCACTAGCCTCACACTGGAAGTGCAGGCTTGGCACTGAAGGGCAGGGGACAGAGGGAGGCTAGTATTGGCCCTGGCTACCAGCAGTTCAGAGTCTCTGTTTGGATCAGAGGTCTCTCTGTGAAGCGACCAGCGCTCATCCCCCTTGTCTCCAGGGTGAGCTGTGCCTCTGGGCTACACAAACAGCCCTCCATGGGGAGAGAAGGAACGCATAGTCTCTCAAATGCCAAAAGGGCTAAACCCTTCCTGGGATGGATGGAATAAACCCCATCCACTTGCAGAGGCTCCTGATGGAGTCTCTACCCCTCCATCTCTCTGTCCCTTTTCAGACTTCCCCTGCACCACAACCATCATCTCTGCCCCACCTCCAGGCACTGGAGAAACAGAAAAGGTGGTCTTTAACTTACAGACAATTTAAATCCTGAAAGGTTGACTCTGATTATTTTTGTATTTAACAATACTTAATATTCCAAAGAGAGCACAAAGCTCTGTGATATAGAATAATTCAATTCATTACCAATTCTTAGAACTAACTATAAGATCTAAGAGTGTTTGTTTACCAGGCATTGTTTCTCATGTGTAGTCTATACAAGAACCATCTCAGAATATCCTGTCACACTTGCTGAGAAGTCAAAGTTTGGGGTAGTTTTCACCATCACTTCAGATGACTGACTCTCCTAAGGAGGAACTTTGGAAACCAACTAACTCCACACAGGAGAACTATTTCATTGTACTTATTCATTTGAACTTAACAGCTTTTGGATTGGGTATTTCAGTTTATTTATATTTTTTAAAAATTGTGTTAACTTATCTATTCCTACCCAAAATTTTAAATATTCAGTCCAAGAAATAAACTCTGTAATTCCTCCTGGTTGTATCAAAGCGCTAGAAGATTAATGTTTTACTCCCCAACTTTGCTCTCAATCACCTTTAGACAAAAAAGAGAAATGGTACAGAGAAAGTGTGTTAAAAATTTGTTATTTTCTGCCCTGACCGGTTTGGCTCAGTGGATAGAGTGTCGGCCTGCGGACTGAAGGGTCCCAGGTTCTTGACTCTAGTCAAGGGCGCCAAAAAAAAAAAAAAATAAAAAATAAAAAAAATAAAAAAATAAAAAAAATTGTTATTTTCTGAGAAAAAGATTTTAGACACCTTATTATTTGTTGGCAATTTGCAGCTTACTGAACATATATACACATTTCAACACAATGCCTAGCTCTATAGTAATCATTAATTATTGAGACCCTGTGTGTTACCAGACCCTACAGGAATGAGTCAGACAGGAATTCTGGCTTTATCTATCACACTAAGGAAATGCAGGCTCACAGAGGTGAATTCCTTTTCCAAGGTCTCATTGACAGGAAGTGATTCGAAGACTGGTAGCCACTCCAGAATCTGTGCTCCAACATCCCAGGACTGCTCTGGGTTCTCCCACAGGACTCAGCCCCCACAGTGTCCTCCCTCCCAGCTGTTACTGCTGCTCCTGTCCTGCCGCAGTCCTACTCATGGGATGTGTCCTCCACATGCTCACAACTAGATAAAGAAATGTCACTGTTCAGTCCAAAGCCAAATCTTCACCTTCATTTAGAACTTAATCTCCTTGCCCTCTTACATACCCAATTTTTAATCAATACTTACAGAGGATTCAGTATGCAACACAATGATTTTAAGAACATTATAAATTTTATCATATATTTAATCTTCCTAATGATTTTAATGACTATTAGATTGTGGTGGGGTTTTTGTTTAGTGTTGCCGTTTTATGGATAACAAATGAAGACAGAAAAATTATTTTTTCTAATGCACACAGCTGGAAAAGCAAGAAACACATGAATGTTGTATAGGACTGTCTTTGAGAAAGTGAAGGGACAGTCAAAGCACTTTGACAGTTTTCTGTTCCTTAATTACATGAAACGCCCACTGTGATGAATGCACTAAAGTAGTACCTCTCCCAGCTGTGGGACTCTGGCAGCTCTGGGCACACCCAAAGTCACCCTGGCTACAGCCTCTCTTCCCTGCCAGCCCAGAAACAAAAATGTCCTTTTACTCTAGTTTAAATAAATGAATTCCTGCATTCACACCTGTATCTGGGACCTATAAAGATCTGTATCGTGGTGTTTTGAGAGCGAGCCTCATTCTTTGTCTTCTTCTTCCTCTCAAAGTCTCCCATCTTCCAACTGCAACAGCTCCCAGTATTTACTACAAATGTCCTCCTCAAGGTCACAGAGCACATTTATTTCTCTTTATCTGAGAGGCCTATTAAGACCATCCTCTATTTAAATTCAGCCCCCATGCTCTCTATCTCAGTTCCTGCTTGTTTTCTCCTGAGCACTGGCCATCATCTAATATACATATACTATGCATGCTGCTTATTTGCTTTCTGTATTGTCTGTCTCCTCTCACCAGAATAGAGCTCCATGAGGCAGGAATTGGTATCCATTTTGTTTACCGCTGGATACTGAGCACATAGACCAGTGCCGGCACATGGTAGGTACTCAGATTATGTATGAGGCTAATGAGAAACCAAATCACTCTGGAACTCCACGTATCTTCTCTGGTCACTCCTTATCTCCTCATCCCGATTGGATGTGGGAGATAATGGCTATCATACAGGTATACACAAATAGTAATAAAAATGATGGTGATGGCAAGTATATATTGAGCACACATTTCCTAAACCAAGTATATTCTTAGGTGCTCTGTTTTGATTATCAATTCAATCTTTAGAATAGTATGATTTTAGGTTCTACTGTCATCCCCATCATACAATTGAGAAATGATATTCACTGAGAAGGTAATAAGTGACCTAAGAACACACAGTCAGTAAGTGGTACAGGTGGCAGGGTAGGTATATGCACATGGCATCCAGTCAAATCTCAGAAGGAAGTTCAGCAAAGCTGCCTAGAAGAGGAGGTAGTAGGTACAAGTTGAAGTATCAATAGATTATATGAATGAAGAAAGGGTAAATGAGCATCCAGTCAGAAGAAAAATAATCTGCAGATCCTGGGAACAATTGAGGAGGAGTGTTTGTAGAACTGCACATAAACCTGGTCGTCTATAACCTGAGGTGGGTGGTGGCTGACATCATTAGGACAGTACTGTAGAGCTTGGAAAGAGGTTGTCAAAAAGGGGTTTTATTCTAACTAAAGTGATTGGATTTCCTACTGTGGCCATGGAATGAAGGGAACTATTGTGGGTTCCTAAGAAAGATGAACAATTTACAAGGTCAATTTTTCAGTTTTGTTGAACAATGACTTCCAAACAAGAAGAGTCTGTGCTCCTTGTTTCCTCAGGCAATGGAGGTCTTCCAGAACTTCAAGCAGTCACAGGCTGCAACAAAGGAATCCATTCTGCAGGCTGACAAGGCCCTCACTGCTGGGGAGAAGGCTCTAGCAGGTACAGGGCAGGGCTGTGATCACAGTGGGCAGGGGGGTTCCTGCAGTGCCCCTTAATGTGTGAGAGCAAATCCTTCTTGAAACAAGAAGGATTAGAATAACTTGGCTAAATCTAAAAATAACCAGGTGAATTTCAATTGCTCCCTCAGGCAATCAGTGCCTTTCCATTGTATTCTGAAGCACGTTTTGCTGGTACTGTTAGTAAGAATATTCAGGGATTCCTCTCTGACATTATAAAATCATTTTAGTCTCTTACCTTTGACGAGTACAGCTACGTATAGCTGTTATTTTCTCTCCCTGCAAAACCACTGTGGAACAGCTGAGCAGGCCAAGACAGAGGCAGTGGCAAGGAAACAGGAGCGTCTAAGGCAGACACTGAGGGAAACACAGCAAAAAATGGAGGCTCAAGAAAGAAGCTTTAAGAAAAGCATAGCCCTACTGAAGGAGAAGATGAAGATAGAAAAAGAAAATGAAGAGAAAAAAAAAAAACCAGGATAAAATGGCGGAGTATATGCAGAGTGTAAGTCTGGGCATGGGGTGGGCAAGGAGTCTAAAGGTAAGTAACATGGTTTCTCATGAAGAGAAGAGCAAAAGTTTTAACTAAAGTTACAATGATTCCCTGAAATGTCAAGTTAATTGGATAATTCTAAAGCCCTAAGTCTTTAAGACTAAGCACCTTCTGTGGTATTAGAGTTTTGGGAGGTCAGTTAACATGCTCCAAGCTTCCGAACTGCTGTTTGTGGTGATCATAGAGTTTCCTTGTGCCCCCGAGTGACTATGACTTCAGTTCTTAGGATGTTTGGTACACCCATCAAAATTACCTGATATAGTGCTAACTGGTCTCAAAGTCTCAGATTACACATGATATGAAATATGGGATGCTGAAAATTCTAAAATGTGCTGCATTTGTTCCCACATCAGCCTGCTTCTTTCTACATGTCCAGAGTAAATGCATTTTTTGTCCTTATCTAGAGTTTGCTTGCCAGTGTTCTCGAGAGTCAGCAGTTCCCATATGGGTAACATGTGTGTAGCCATCCTACTTCAGTGGAACTGAGAAATAGAACTAAACCTCCATCCCTCCCAAAGAACATCTCTAGGACTGAAACACATTCCTGGCACAGTTGTCAGACCTGACCCAGACCCAAGCCCTCTCCACCCTCAGTGGGATCCTGCTAAGGACACATCGGAAGAAACAAACTCCTACGACCATGTCTAAAGGTTTGGAAATACTAGACAAAAACATCAAAGAGCTATTTGAATTTTACAATGATTGTTATTTGGGTGATAAAACTAAATTGAATTAATGCATGTATTGCTGGGTTTTGCTTAAACTTATAGTCTTTATTTCTTAATTCTAATTTCTGCTGTATCACTAGGTTGAAGAGTTATTGAAGAAACACCAGAAGAAAGAGATGCAAAATAAGATTGAAGGTGAGTACAGCTAAATATACTCTGAATATAAAAATAATAAATTATACTTCAAAATTAAGAACTCTGCTCTTTGAAAAATCAGACTTTTAATTGAATTAAAAGGCCAGACACAGATTGGAAATAGCTATTTTCAAATCACACATCGGATAAAGGACTTGTATCCAAAATATTTAAAGAACTCTTAAAACTCAACAAATATCTCACTAATTGGAAAAGCAAACACCTGAAATATGAGGAAAAAATGATATAATTTGAACAGATACCTCATCAAAAACATATATTTGGATGGCAATAAGCACATTAAACAACATCATTAGTTATTAACAACATCATTACTTATTACAAAAGTGGAAATTCAAGCCACAATGAGATATCACTGTGCACTACTAGAAAGGCTAAAATTAAAAAGACTAAACATTTCAAGTGTTGGTGGGAATGTGGAGCAACTGGAACCCTTATACCCTGCTGTAGGAATGTAAAATGGTAAATTGCTCCGGAAAACAGTTTGTCAGTTTCTTAAAAATTTTACAAATACCTACCATGCAGTCTAATCATTTGCTCCTAGATATATCCTCAGTAAAGTTGAAAGTTTATGTACATACAATAACTTGTTTGAAAATGTTCATAGCTGCTTTCTTGGTAATGGCCAATAACTGGAAACAAACCAAATGTACATTAATAGATGGACAACAAAATTTAACAAATCCATACAAAAAATACTACTGAGCAATAACATAAAATAAATGATTGATACATAAAACAATGTTACAAAAATGAATATGCTGAGTGAAAGAAGGCAGACAAAAAGTCTACATAGTGTATGATTCCATTTATGTAAAATTCCAGAAAGAGAAAACTATTCTCTAGTGACAGAAACTGGCCGGTGGTTTTGCCTAGTGATGGGGATGAGATTTTATGTTCAGGAGGAGGGCCAAAGGGCATGAGGAGATGTTTCAGTCATAGGTATGTTCCTAACTTGATTGTGGTTTGGTTTGTCAGGTGTGTACAAGTATAGTAGATAGATAAAAATGCATTTGGCAGTAAATAGTGTTACCATTATACATCAATAAAGCTGTTCAAAAAATATAAAATTTTAGATATATGGGAAACCCTAGAAATTTTGTCAACAACATTAATGCACTGGAAATCATTATTGTAGTGCAAATAATAGTTTGTAGCAAGTATAGTTCATAGTTCAAGGAGATTTTTAACTGTTGTTTACAGTTGTCTTTTGCTCCCTCAGTGCAAAAGCTATCACAAGAGGTTTTCTCTATGAAATAAGAATAAAACAAAAAAGATGAGGTGAAAGGCAAAATAAGCCATAACAACTTAATCCTCATGTTTCTCTGCTTATTTTTCTTTGTCAGTGCAAAGTATAAAGGCTGAATCTGAAGCAACTACAAGAAAAATATTGGAGGAAGTACAAAAAAAGAATGAACAGAGGTGGAAAGAGACAGAAAAGAATTATCAGGAACATGTGAAAAGACTTGAAGAGATGGAGAAGGGAAGAGCAGAGGAAGCATGGAATGCAAAACATAAACTTCAGGTATTCAGTTCTGTCATCGTCATTTTAACTTCAACTGTACAGAATCAAAAACGTTGCTTAGAAAGTAGAGCATTATGTCACTTTTCCAGCCCAATCACTTGTAGACTCTACATTCTCTTACTGCTTCTACCTGTTACCATCTCTGGTTACTAAAGGATAATACTTGCAGGATAAAATCTCATGGAATCCTTTATTATTACATCACTAATAAATAATAATTATTCACTACCAGGCACTGATCAATGCTTTACAGTCATTCTGTCATCTAACTGTTATATTATGTTCTAAGTGCTATTATAATCTTATTTTTAAATGAGGAAATTGTAATATCATGAGAGATAAGTATTGTTTCTGAGTCCTGCCTTGTGGAAGAATAGCTATTCTGTCTATCTGACTGAGTGGAGTTCAAGGTATTTTTGTTTCCTCAGTACCTGGTATAACTTTATCTCTGAAGGCACCCTAATGAAGTAAGACTCTGTGTTCAGCTACAGAATTAACCATGTAATTACATACCTAGGCTGCCTGTATCTTGCTGTTCTCCAGGCTCTACTATGAGTCATTGTTGAGTCCAGATGTCCTCCCAAAAATACAATATGGACTGGCATAGGCCCTGATCTCTTCAACTTATTTGTTACATTGCCACCAAGTTTTGGAGAGTTGTACTAAGTTTCCTCATCAAACATCTGCCATGATTCTGAATCATGTAGTAACTTTCACAATGCAATTCACTCATCTTTCTCACCTTCTTAGACAAATATTTGAGAGGCCACACTACCTAGATCAGAGGTGAAGGAAAAAATGATATATTTTCCAGGAACACTATGATGCATGTGGGTGAAGAAAGCCAAGAATAGGATCTGTGTCACTAATATTTTCGTAACTATGAGAAAGAACATTTCTGTAGCTAAATAAAGCTCAGAAATATTATTGGTTGGCATAGGAGAAGGTGATATAGTAGAAATTAAGAAAGGCACATAATTAAAAATAAAATTGAAAAACTCATAACACGTATGGGCAGGGGAAATAATTTGGCAAATGTGGGAAGCATTTTTAATTGTGTGAGTTCAGCCCTAACCGGGTTGGCTCAGTGGATAGAGCATGAGTCTACAGACTGAAAGGTCTCAGGTTTGATTTGGTCAAGTACATGTATCTTGGCTGCATGCACATTCACAGTAGGAGGTGTGCAGAAAGCAGCTGATCAATGTTTCTCTCTCATCGATGTTTGTAACACTTTATCCCTCTCTCTTCCTCTCTGTAAAAAAAAATCAATGAACTATATTAAATAAATAAATTAATTAATTAATTGTGTGAGTTCAATCTCCACTTTTTCTTTCAGGAATGTAAGCGGGAAAATGAGCAGGAACGTGAGCAGCTTCTCGAGAAGAACAAGGAACTTAAGTCAAACAGTTGCCTCTTAACTGAAATTGAAAACATGATGTTTGCATTATTTTTTGTTTTGTTAGTCCTCACCCTACAATATTTTTTCCATTGATTTTTAGAGAAAGCAGAACTAAGGGGGACAGGTGGAGAGAGAAACATCAATGTGTCTGTGAGCCAGTGCTCTATCCACTGAGCCAAACTAAATAGGGCTGATGCTTGCAATTTTGTTGAACCATAAAGTTTTCAAAGAAGAAATAAACTGTTAAGACAATGTTTGTTTTTCTATAAAGTGATTCAGTTCGTGTTTAATTATAGGAAGAGTGATTAGCATGATTCTATCGGGATTCAATATTTGAAATCAGGCATATTTAATGTGTCTAGAGACACATTAAGTTGTATAATGGGATCATTTTACAATGAGGAGATATCAGGCGGCTTATGTTCAGGATAGACTTGTTCTCCCTCACATACCTCACCCCACTAGACATCCTCAGTCCTATACTATTGCTCAAGGGTTTTCTTTGGTTTGGGGATAGGGTTGGGGTATTGTGAACTTAGGGCAAAGGTAATGGAGGTGAACAAAGCCATGGGACACATTGATCATCATTCCTGCCAAGTAGCCTATTGCTCATGGGCTGGCTACAAATAAGGGAGGCCTGGGACAATTGATTGCAAGGTGCAGACAGAGTACAGTTCTTGGTGGCTGTATTGATTGGGTGGTGGCTACATGGTCTCTGGGCACAGATGGGACTCTGTGATACTGGTAGAAGAAGTACTTGCCTCTGTGCAAAATGGATTTATGTGTGGATGCTTCACCCTCCCTCCCTACAAAATTTTTCTGGGTAATTACTGTCCTGTCCAAAGGCCACTCACCTCTTTCTCTTCTACTCTCTTTACTTAGTCTATTTTCCCTCCCACAGTACACAGAGTAGCTTCTATAGTCATACAAAGGGGAGTATTAACTCAAACTTGAAATGAATTTATTTTTATTCCTCTGAGACCCATAACTATAATCCTGTAAAACTTAAACTAGACTATTGTTCTCTCTGCCTTTCTGATTTTGTGTTGGGACAATATTTTGAGGGAGAAAATGAATGTTGACACTCAAATCACACCATATGCAAAATTAATTTGAGATGAATCATAGTCTTTTTTAAAATATATTTTTATTAATTTCAAAGAGGAAAGGAGAGGCAGAGAGAGAGAAATATCAATGATGAGAGCCAGCAACCTGGGCATGTGTCCTTGACCGGAATCAAACCCAGACCCTTCAGTACCCAGGCTGATGCTTTATTCACTGAGCCAAACCAGCTATGGCTGAATCATAGTCTTAAATGTTAAAGTTAATATCTAAAAGAAAGCTTCTAAAAAAAAACAGAAGTAATTTTTCATCTTGGGGGAGATAAAAGTTTCTTAACACCATATAAAATGCACTCTACTTATAAGAAAAACAATTGTTAAATTAATCTTCATCAGAGTTAAAATATCCCATGGCTGTTATCAACAGTACAAGAGATAACAAATGCTGATGCAAAGGGAACCCAGTGCACTGATGATGAGACCAAAATTGATGTCGCCACTATGAAAAACATGAAGATTCCTCAAAAATTAAAAATAAAGCTACCATATAATTAAGCAATTCCACTTCTTGGTATTTATCCAAATAAAACAAAACATTAATTCAGAAAGATATATGTACTCTTATATTCATTGCAGCATTATTTACAATAACCAGGGTATGAAAACACTCTAAGGGTTCATCAACAACTGAATAGATAAAGAAAATATGACTTGACCAGAGTGGCTCAGTTGTTGAGCATTAACCTGTGAACCAGAAAGTCACAGTTCAATTCCCTGTCTGGACACATATCCGGGCTGTGAGCTTGGTCCCCAGTGCAGGGCTGCAGGAGGCAGTCAATCAATGATTCTCTCTAATCACTGATGTTTCTATTTCTCCTTCTCCCTTACTCTCTGAAATCAATAAAAATATGTTTTTTAAAATAAAGTTTAGCATACATATATAATAGAAGATTACTTAGTCATAACTAAAAAAGGAAACTGCCATTTGCAGCAATATGGATGGATCTTAAGAGCATATACTAAGTTAAATAATTCAGAACAGAGAAAGATGAATACCACATGATCTCACTTACGTGTGGACTCAAAAAACCCAGGCAATTTATTTACAGAATAGATTGTGGGTTGCCAAAGGCAGGGGGTAGAGAGTAGCAGAAATGTGTAAAGGAAGTAAAAAATGCCCAGTCGTCATGGCTCAGTGGTTGAGCGTCAACATATGAACCAGGATGTCATGGTTTGATCCCCGGTCAGAGCACATGCCTGGGTTGCGGGCTCCATCCCCAGTGTGGGGTGTGCAGGAGGTGGCCAATCAATGATTCTTTCTCATCATTGATGTTTTATCTCTCTCACACACTCCCTTCCTCTCTGAAATCAATAAAAATATATTTAAATGATTAAAAAATATAATTCCTTAATTCAGCGATTTTTCAACCTTCTTTTCTAAAGGCATACATAAACTAATTCCTAAGAGTGCTCTTTTAGTAATTCATTCATGTGTGCCATGAGAAAAGAAAGATTGAAAATCGCTGCCTTGCCCAGCTGGTGTGGCTCAGTGGTTGAGCGTTGACCAATGAACCAGGAGGACACTGTTCAATTTCAGGTCAGTTGTGGGCTCAATCCTCAGTGTGGGCATGCAGGAGGCAGCCAATCAATGATTCTCTCTATCTCTTTCTCCCTCTCCCTTCCTCTCTTAAATCAATAAAAATATATCTTAAAAAATAAATAATAAAATCATTGCCTTAAATCAGTTTCACATACTGAAACTTTATGCCCTTAAATAATATCTCAGCCAAACCTACAGCCCCTGCAACCACCAATCTAATCTCTGCGCCATTGACTTTCATTGTTTCTAATTCTTCATAAAAGTGGTATCATGTAATATATGCATCTGGCATATTTTATTTAGCATAATATGAACCAGGTTCATGTATATTGCCACAAATTGCAGTATTTATTTTTTTAAGTCTGAATTACATTTCATTGTATGTAAATACCAGGTTTTCTTTATCCAGTCATCCTTCAAAAGATGTTGAGGTTACCTCCAAGTCTTGGTCCTGTGCACAATGCCTCAGCAAACATGGGAGTGCAGATCTCTCTTTGATGTTTTCATTTCCTTATATACACATCAAGAAGTGGGCTCGCTAGATCATATGGTAGTTCTATTTTTTTTAAATTATTTGTTGGGAAAACTCCATACTGTTTTCTATAGTGACAACACCAATAATCAATCCCACCAAGAGTGTACAAGGATTTGCTTTTCTCCACATTCTTGCCAGCATTTCTTTTCTTTTCTTTTTGTTTTTTAATACACAATCTGGAAAGTATGAGGTGATATCTCATTGTGGTTTTCATTTGCATTTCCCTGGTGATTAGTGATGTTCAACGCCTTTTCACATACCTGTTGGTCATTTGTATGTCTTCTTTGGAGAAATGTCTATTCAGTTTGTTCATTTTTAAAATTGGTTTATTTGTTTTTTGGCTATGGAGTTGTAGAAGTTCTTTATATATTTTGTATATGAACCTTTTCTCAGATAAATGGTTTGCAAATATTTTCTCCCATTCCAGAGGCTGCATGTTCATTTATTGATTGTATCTTATGGTGTGAAAAAAACTTTTATTTTTATAATCCTAATTGTCTACTTTGCTTTTGTTGTCTGTGCTATTGCTGTCAGGTACAAAACAGCATTGCCAAGGCCAATGTCAAGAAGCTTTCTTCCTGAGTTTTCTTCTAGCAGTTTTAAGATTCAAATCCTACATTCAAGTATTTGATCCATTTAGAGTAGTTTTTGGGTATGGTGTAAGATAAGGGTCCAATTTATTCTGTGACATGCAGATATCCAGTTTTCCCAGCACTGTTTGCTGAAGAGTATACTTTTCCTCATTGCGTATTCTTGACACCCTTGTCAAAGATCGGTTGGGCATATATGTATGAATATATTTCTGGGCTCTATTCTGCTGCATTGGTTTATCTGTCAATTTTCATGCAAGCATCATACTGTTTTGATTACCGTCATTTCATAATATATTTTGAAATCAGTAAGTGTGATGCCTCAAGCATTGTTCTTCTCACTCAAAATATCACTGGCTATTTAGGGTCTTTTGTGGATCTATATGAATTGTAGAATTTATTTTTATTTCTGTAAAAAATGTCATTAGAATTTTGACAAGAATTACATCAAATATTTAAGCTGCTTTGTATAGTATGACTATTTTAACAATATTTATTCTTGAACACAAAATGTTCTGTCACTTATATGTGTCTGCTTTAATTTCTTTCATCAGTGTTTTAGTTTTTATTGTACAAATCTTATATCTCCTTGGTTAAATTTAATTCTAAGTATTTTATTCTTTATGATGCCACTGTAAATGGGATTCTTTGCTTAATTTCTCTTTTGCATAATTTGTTGTTAGTGTACAGATATGCAACTGTGTTTTTTGTAAGTTGATTTTGTATCCTGAAAAATTATGGAATTCATTTATTAGTTCTAACAATTTTATGTTGCGTTTTTAGGATTTTCTACATATATTGCCATAGGCTTCCATTCTCTTAACTGGTAATTAATATTCACAACTCTCTCTCTCTCATGTGCTAGTTCATGATGGATATACTTTGCTGGAATCTCATATTCAAAGAAAAACATTTCTCTAACTGAAACATGACATCTAAACTACTTGTTCTCCCCAAACAGAAATGCAGGAATGATTCTCATGGTTTTTCTGTTACATTTGAGTGGTTTTCAAGGGCTAGCTGAGACCATGCTGGGTCATTGACTGATTCCTCCCAGCCATGACTTGTGAAGACAATGCATTTGAGATAGAGCTGGATATAAAACCTCCTATAACACCCATGTGCCAATGCAAGACAATCCAAAAAGCACTTGCGAGTGTAGTAGATTTTACTGAAGATATAGAAAGCAGAAGATACCATTGTTAGTGCATCTTTGAGGTGAACCACAAGTCATTAACTCCACAGTAACCCAGTCCAGCCTATTTCTACCTTGTTGGATACCCTCTCTCTTCTCTAGTATTCTATTTTATTTATTTTGTGACAACTTTGCTTTTAAAATCAAACAAAATTTCTTTAACAAATAAATTGAGTGCTTTCTATTGCTTGTGTGTGTGTGTGTGTGTTTGTTTTATAATGTGGAGTTTTTGTTAGGCTAGGAAACATAATTTACTTCATAAAAGTTAATTTTGTTACAATAGGAATGCTAACTGCTATTTACAGGTTGTAGTTTACAGGATAAACAGAGGTGAAATTAGGGCCATTCCTGCAGTTCTGTATCCCTCAGACAAATAACCATGTCCATGGTCCAGGCAAGAGGTTCAGCCCTTTGCCCCCAGGAGAGCTGCTCCCTGACCCCATCATCCTGAATCACCTCCCCTCAGAAGACCTTCAAGGAACCTGATTCAACTGTCTAGTTGCTGAGGGAAGGGGTACCAAAGGGCTCTAGATCATCCAGGAGATGGGGAGGG